TTTTCCAGGGGGAGAATAAGCTCCACAGAGCGCCGGCCCCTGAGAACCCTGTCTGGTATCAGCTGGCCGCCAGCCTGTGGTAGACAGTGGCAGGATGGTTTTTTCAGATGAACGGTCTGGAGAAGTCCTCCTGCTGAAGTAAGAATTGGGCAGGGACCTGAGTGAAACAGGAGAGTCAGCAAAGAAGACCTGGGGGAACACATGCAGCCCAGGCAGACAGCAGAGGCGAAGGTCTCGGGTGAGCTTGCCAGGACTGAATGAAGGAAGTGGAGAGAGGAAACAAGAAGTAGGAAAATAGGCAGGAATCAGATTATGTGGGACTTGGGAGGCCCTTGTAAAGATTTTTGCTTCCATTCTGCATATCATGGGAAGCCCCCAGGAGTTTTAAGCAGGGAAAGGAGTGATTTGGTGAGTCTTTGAAACCATCCCTCTGGTTGCAGAGGGATGCAGCAAATTCAGACATGATTAAGGCAAAACTCCACATGCAAGGAATTCAGTCTCGTAAAAATCCAGATGGTTAGGTAATGAAGAAACAGGTGCCTATTTTTAGGAGGTTCAAGTATGTTTTGATGAAGTATCCAACAATCAAGGATCAGCTTTCTCTTCAGCTTTTGCCCCTTATATACATACTGTGATAGTGGTATCTCAGGGAGGAAGATGTTAGACAATTTACCCAATAAAGAATTTCTATTTTTAACATGTCTCTGATGGCAAACACTCTCTACATTTATGTGCATGGGTGCACACTCCCCCGTGACATTAGCTAACATTTGTTGAGTGCCTGGTATATGTCAGCGTGTGTCTAAGTGTTTTACGGGTGCTAACTCACTGAAGCTCCCAAGAAACCTGTGGGTTGGTGCTACTGGCATCATCATCCCCATTTTACAGACAATACAACTGAGGCACAGATTAAGTAATTTACCCAAGGCTACATAATTGGCAAGTGGTAGAGCCAGGCTTGAAATCTAGACTGTCTAGTTCCAGGGTCTTTTGCTTAACCCCTTTGCTGAACCTCATGAGGTGCAAGTGTGCACATGTGTGTACATGCACACACATATACACACATGCATGTACTCAGAGTCACTCAGAGTAAGAGGCACAGGGAGACAGGTTAGCCCTGATGAAACTTAAAGAGAAGGTGAGGCTGTTCCAGCTACCTTCTTAAACTATGCTAAGAAGCTTAAAGTGGGAGAAGTCATGTTTTAAGGAATCTCCAAAGATTATCCTGAATGCCTCTATTCATGTGTCTAATATGCACCTCTGACTTAACAGGTCCCAGAGTGTTTGATTCCAAACCACACCCCCACTTCAAACCTGCATGTCTTCCCCACATCATCTCATGACACTATCAGCCAACTAACTGCTCAGACCAGCACCCTGGAGTCATCTTTGGTTCTTCTCTTTTTCCCCAACCTAATACACCAGTAATTCTTGTCATTTCTGCCTCCAAATCTGATTCAGTGTAGTCCAAATCTGACCATTTCTCAGGTCACTGCTGCTGACCTCCTTCATCCAAGGTGCCATCATCTCTTTTTAGAAGTTGGCCACAGCTCCAAGCTGTTGGCTTCCAGTTTCCTCACAGGATTCATTCTCCACAGCCTCTTCGAAAGTCATCCCTTCAAAGTACTTCTTGGATTATATCAGTCCCCTTTTTAGAACTGTCAGGTGGCTTGCCATTGTAGTCAGAACAACCCACTGCATATGACAATCTACAACAACCAACTCCAAATGATGGTCTACAGCAACGCACTGCACACAATGGTCTACAACAACCCACTTCCTATGATGATCTACAACAACCCCCTCCCTATGATGGTCTACAACAACCCACTCCAAACGATGGTCTACAGTAACCCCCTCCCTATGATGGTCTACAACAACCCACTTCCTATGATGATCCACAACAACCCACTTCCTATGATGATCTACAAAAACCCACTGCACATGATGGCCTACAAAAACCCACTTCCTGTGATAGTCCACAACAACCCATTCCCTATGATGATCTACAACAACCCACTCCCTATGATGATCTTCAACAACCCACTCCCTATGACGATCTACAACAAGCCACTCCCTATGACGATCTACAACAACCCACTTCCTATGATGATCTGCAACAACCCACTCCCTATGATGGTGTATAACAACCCACTTCCTATGATGGTCCACAACAGCCCATTCCAAATGATGGTCTGCAACAACCTATGACCTTGTCTCTCTATGCTCTCTCCCTTGATTTCTTCTTGGGCTCTTAGTGCTTTCCATTTTATATTTACAACTCCTTTCCCCAGATCTTCTAGCACTTGGTTGTCTAAAAATGTATAAGACAGAGGTTCAGAGCTCAGGCTACAAAAGATGACTGACTGGGCAAAAATCCCAAATTCGCCATTTTACTTATCTAATCTTGAGCAACTTTTATAACCCTCTGAGCTTATTTATTCATCTAGAAAACAGTGAAATTAATAATAGCATCTACCCAGAGTTCTTGTGAAAACTAAGCAAATTAACCTCATGTAAAGCACACCAAGCAACATTTTTCTTATGAACTGTTCACCATTGTGATTATTACTGTTAATACTATCAATATTATTATTAACAGCAAATAAATTACGATTTGAGCCTGATCTTTGAAGAGTCAGAGCACCACTCACCACTGGCTGTGTGAACTTGGTGACCTCTCTGTGTCCGGTTTTCTCATTTGTTAAGCAGAAATTCCACAAATTTAAATGTAACAAATGAAAATTTATACCATCCTTGGACATATTTAGTTAATACAGGTAAAGCACTCAAAATAGTGCGTGGCACACAGCAAGCATTCTGAAGTGCTCATCATCATCATTATTATATTCTAATCATTGTTCTCTTCTTCCAGGTGTCTGTTAGCCATTCCATCATCCCGAGGCCCTTGCTCATCCTCCACTATAGTCACTCTGTCATATCAGCTTGCCTTGTTTTTCATCATTGCATTGACCCCTGCTTGACATTAGTGTCTTTAGAGCATTGTTACACATCATTGGCTGTCTCTCTCTTCTTCTAGCCTTTTCACTGGTGTTTCCCCAGTGCCAGGAGCAGAGCTTGGGACATGGTAGGACTCAATAAAAGTCAAATAAACAAGCATCACATTTTTTTCATGCGTGTAAAGACTCTATCTGCACGAGGACTCTGTTCCCCAGGACTGTTATTCTGCTATGCAAGTTCATGGCCAATCATCACTGCACATCAAACCTTAATGGAAGATCTCAATGATTTTTCCCTAAGTGCATTTTGTTGTTCTCAAGTTGCTGCTGCTCAGGCAGCTGCCTCCATAGAAGATGAGCGCCTCAATGGCAATTCTCCCTTGGCTCATGTGCTCACATGCACCCTCTCATATTTACCTTCTCCCTTTACTCATTGATTTATTTCTTAATTAATCACTCAATTCATTCACTAACCTAACACTGATTGAGCACCAACTATGTATGGGCCTAATGCAGAGCACTGAAGTTACAAAGACTCATACAACTTGGTACCTGCTTGTAAGGAGTTACAATATAGCCAAGGAGGAAGATACAGAAATGGAGAATTAAAATGCAGTGGGTTTACTGATGGCTGTAGGTATTGCTTTTATAGCATTCCCCAAAAGGGGCATCAACATAGCCCAGAGGAATGAGAAAAGACTGCCCCTCCACCATGTTCCTGAAGGAGAATGAACCAAAACACAGGGTGAGGATAGCAAACTGATGGGTGTAGTTAGGGTTTGGAGTAAGGGGTAGGGTGTATGTGGAGGACAGGAGATTGAGTAGGTGGCAGGGGAACTTCTGTGGTCTGACAGAGGAGTTTGGACCTTATCTTGCAAGCAACATATAAGCAGTGAAGGACTTATCACAAGATCAATGCCAGATTTGGGATTTAGGAGGTCACCCTGTGTCTCTCTGGTGGTCAACGCAGAAATGGAAACAAAGGAACGATATGGTCACCAGCAAGAGGTGAGGAGTGTGATAGTGATGATGGAGAGGAGGGATAACTTTTTAAACATCAGGAGGTCTGGATGATTGATTGACACAGGATATGAAAGAAAAGTAAGAATTAGCTGACCTTTCTAGTTCTTTCTTGGGAGACAAGAAAGAGTTGCAATTCCTTCTAACTCACTATCACTGCACTCACTGCAACTGCAGTAGAAACTCTTAACAACACCATCAGAACTGGTAGTCGGTTTCTTTGAAGAGCATCAAAAAGTTAAAGACTCCTGAGAAGGTTCAATTTAAATTGCTGTGGTAAACAGACTAATGGCCCCCAAAAGACATCTGCATCCTAATTCCTGGAACCTGTGAATATGTCAAGCCACATGGAAAGGGGAATTAAGGTTGCAGATGACACTAAGGTTGCTAACCAGCAGATCTTAAAACAGGGAGATTATTTTGGACTCTCTGGGTAGGTCCAATGGAATCACAACAGGAAAGGGAGACAGGAGACTCAGTATCAGAGAAAGAGATGGAAGCAGAATCAGACAGATGCAACAATGCTGGTTTTGAGGACAGAGGAAGAGGCCATAAGCCAAGGAACGTGGGCAGCCTCTAGATGCTGGAAAAAGCAAGAATGCTGATTCCCAGCTAGAGCCTGTGGAAGGAATGCAGCCCCACCACCACCTTGATTTTAGCTCAGTGAGACCCGTACCGAACTCCTGAAATACAGAATCGGACGATAAGAAGTTTGTGTTAAATCAGTTTCATGATATGGGGGACTTCATTTTACCATTTTTCGAAGGAGTTTCACGCATGCTAGCTCACTTGTTTCTGTGATGCTGGGAGGCAGGTTTTATGGTTCCCGTTTTATAAATGGTGAAATTAAGGTTCAGAGAAATTAAGACACTTGCTCAAACCCTCTCAACAATGATGTGCTGGAGCAAGGACTAAGTCACTGGTCTGTGTAGGGCCCTTCCTCTGCCTTACGCTGCCTCTCCTGTCTTGAGTGATGTTCTCACACTAAATGCCACCTCTTTGGATTAAAACGTAGACAAATGCAAGATGAAAATTTTCTTTTATTTGAATTCTGAATGTAACAAGTAAGGAAATTAGTCGGTGCTTCATTCAAGGCAAGAACATGTGTTTAAATGTTCTCCAAACCCCAGTCTTTCTTCCCGCCATTCTTTCTTCCGTTTTTCTTTACTTCCTTTCTTCTTTCCTATCTGATGTTAGGCACAGGGGAAGCTACAGCAATAAATGGGACTCCAATCCTTCCCTCGGAGGGTATAAAAGGGAGTATTTGATCATAAATAGGCACATTATAAGCAGACTGTCATAAAAGCCAGGGAATCCAAGCACCTAGAACACAAAACACAGTAGAAGAAAGCTTTGAGCTTTGTTTTGAACATATCATCTCTGATCAACCACAGACTGTAGATTAAGGATTAGCTCCAATTTCTATATCTTTAGCCCTTACACACAAAAAGAGTTAAAACTCTTATGACAACCAAGAGTGGACATGCATCAGCATGGAGTCCTGGGAACCGTGGCTGCATTCCTGTGTGTTTTTACTTTTGTTAACCCTGAGTACCTTTTTCTTAATCCTAGAATAGGATGCATAGTCCAGGCTCAAATATATTCATTGCTTTCTTGTTTTCTTTCCCATAAACCATAAACATAAAAAATTAGTTCCCATGTAATGCTGTGTCTCAGGAGTAAGCAACCTGTGCCTCTGGTGCCCACCAGCCTTGGAGATGGGTATCATCTGCATGACCCTCGTGCTTCCATGGTTTCTGGCGCAGCCAGTGCCCAGTAAACATTGGTGGATTGATTAGTAACACAGTGCCATCGTACTCCAGACAGTGACATGGAGGTAAAATCAAATACCTATTTTCTGCCTGTGCTGCCACCATCCTAGATCTTGAATTCCTTTCTCGCCCTCTTTTGAGGGTAAGAAACCTCTTGTATTGGGCGACTCTTGTCTGAAAACAACCCTATTTCTAGGATCAAGCAACAGAAAGTCATTAAATGTGGACACACAGTGGGTCCCATCCTTTTCATGCTGCAGAGATGAAACAGAAATGGGTCTGAGGACTTTGCTTCACAACAGGCTACCTTCTCTTTCAGTAATGTGAAAGGATTCTTGGTAATTCCAGTGTAACCACTGAGCCCCACCACTGATACTCAGACTCAGAAGTTGCTAGATCTTCACCCCACTCTGTGACACATCTATTGTGTTTAGGGAGTCGGATAAATTTTATTTGCCAGATCCCCTTTGAAAGAGAACAGTTTGCAAGCAAACAAAAAACCAACACAATCCAAGCTTGCATAAGTAAATAAGGGATTTATCAGTTCAGGAAGTTGAAAATAGCAGGGGCATATTGTATTCAGAAGCAGCTTGATCAAGGGCTCCGGTGACACCACCAGAACTTGGTTTCCGTCTCTGTGCTTCTTGGTTTCAGCCTTCTCCATCTGGGCTTTATTCTCAGACATAAGGATCTTGCATCCACTCATGGTTGCAAGATGGTCACAGCAGCCGGAACTACCAACATCTCACTTGCAACAAAAATGGGGGAGTGTCCATTTTTCAGACGGCACAAACAAAAGTCTTGGAATTCAATCTTGAGGCTTCCAGTTGGCCTGAGATCACAGGTCTACTCTAAGCAATTGATCTTATAAGGGAATGCAACTCAATGACCACAGACCCACTCCAGAGGTGCTGTAGAGCAGAGATCACAAATCGGGAGCCAGTGGGCTGAATCCAACCCAAAGATGTGCTTTGCCAAGCCAGCATGGTGTTTTGAGATTTTTTATTTAAACACCTTTGGCTGATGTCTCCACTCTTCAGTTTCCTGAAGACCCTCCTACTCCATGCTCAGCCTGATTTACACATTGATATTACTGCCTGGATTGGGAAGATATTTAATTTTGCACACTATTATAGATAGAATTCCATGTAGCTGAACTAAGTGATCTTTGGGGATCATTTACTTTTGTGTTCCCAGTATCTAGCATAGTACCTGCACCACAAAGGGCATACAGAGATGCTTACAGAATTACAGTCGTTAATCTACTGATCAAGGGGTCGGGTGTGATGACTCATACCTGTAATCCCAGCTGCTCAGGAGGCTGAGGTGAGAGGACAGCTTCAACCCAGGCTGCAGTGGCTTATGATCACACCACTGCACTCCAGCCTGAGCAACAGAGCAAAACCCCATCTCTAAAAATAAAAATAAAAAAAATCCTCTCAATCAGAGACTCTATGGGACTAGAGGATTGGTTCCAGCTTAATTAGACATCAACCGTAGGCCTTGGGAAAATCTCTGTGCCTCAGAAGGACACAGTGAAGATAAAAAGGATTGTGTGTGCATGCAAGTGCCCGAAGGCTGTATCTGTAAGAGGTCAGGCTGGATTCTGTGACAAACAACCCTCATCTCTGAAGATTAATGCAAGAAAAGTCTATTTCTTGCTCTTGCCCAAGTTGAATGTGGGCATTTAGCAGGCAGCTATTCACTTGGGATTCAAGGGCCCAGTCTTCTCCACTCTGTGGCTCTGGTATCCCCTGGACCTTAGAGCCTCCTGTAAGATCCTCTGTTAAGTCCAGCAGAGAAGGGAAGAGTAAGAGAATGAGAGGCTGGGACTGGAAGTAACAATATTACTTCCAACTACACTGCACTGGCCAGAACTCAGCCCCGTGGCTGCACCTACCTTAAAGAGTGACTGGGAAATGTCTGGCTGTGTGACCAGAAAGAAAAGAAAATGAGGTTTATTAACAACTACCCAGTCTCTACCAGAGGCTATAAGGCAAATGATGGGCTTTATTCACCTTTAATGACAGCCTCCACACCTTTATCCTCGAGGCCTTGATATGACATTTAATGCTTCATGGAAAAACCAAAATAGGAAATATTTCCCTTCTTCATTGTAAGATATAAAGAGTTCAATTTCTCAGGCCAATCATGAAGAAAAAGAAGGGAAAGAAGAGAAAGAGAAAACACAATGAGAAAGAGAAGTAGAAGTGAGTTTGTTCTGCAATCACGTGTTTCCAGGAAATCGTGTTCCAAATTCCCAGGCTAACGTTATAATATTGGATGTTGCTGATCATGTGACTTTCATTATAGGGAACTGTTTTACTTACAGAAAATAGAAGGCCGGGCATAGTGGCTCACACTTGTAATTCTAGCACTTTGGGAGTCCCAGACGGGTGAATCATCTGAGGTCTGGAGTTCGAGACCAGGCTGGCCAACATGGTGAAACCCCGTCTCTACTAAAAACACAAAAATTAGCGGGGCATGGTGGTGCACACCTGTAATTCCAGCTATTCGGGAGGTTGAAGCAGGAGAATTACTTGAGCCCAGAAGGTGGAGGTTGTTGCAGTGAGCCAAGATTGCACTACTGCACGTCAGCCTGGGCAACAGAACAAGGCTCCATCTCAAAAAAAAAAGAACTTCCCATTGTACAATATTTAACAGAAAATGGTCAATTTGTACCTTCCAAAACACATGGAAAGAAAAACACTATTTGAACTAGTTCTTTACTGGTATGTTTAACTTTCGAAGCTTGCATACTCTCATGATGATTTCCTAAGCTTTCCAGAGAGCTTTCCTTCTTTACTTCTCTCCTCACACAACGCATATGAACCAAAAAGGCATGAGCTAAAGGCACATGCACACCTTGGAGACAGATCTCTTATCGACTTAGATTGTCCCATTTAATTTTCAAATGCAGTTAGTAATTGTACCAAAAGCTCTAGACTTCAGTTCATTTAATTCTCTAAATCACCCTATGTAGTTGATATCATTATTCTGTTTCACAGATGAGAAAACTGAGGCTCAAAAATGTAAAGCAATTTGCCTGTTTCAGCTTGCTGGCAAGTATCAGGGCCAAACATGGAGCCACAGTTTACCTGACACTCCACAACCCATGCTCTTAGTAACAAAAGTCAGTTTCCTGGTTAGGACTCGGGGATGACAGTGGTGGCTGCTACTGCTGCTGTTATTGATGATTTGCTTATTCCTGTCATTTGTCTGAATGATTGTTTTGGGGAAGTGGATTCAGAACCCTAGCTGAAATCTCAGTCCTTGCTTACAGAGTTCATTTCCTTGTGGCATCACTTGTCTACACTGTACCCAATGGCATAGTAGGTGGTTTGGGCTGTAAACTCACTCTCCTGCCAATCTGGACCCGGCTTCTTCTCCTGCAAGATTCAGAAGCAAGGACATTCTGCTGAGGCTCTGAGGGAGCCATGTTCAGAATGGAAGGCAGCTGAAGTGTCCCTACGGTGTTCCTGGTCATCCCAATCTTCTTTGGTGTTACCATTTAAGATTATAAAGCCTGGTGGAAACAGAAGATGTAAAAGGAGCACCGAATCCCAAACTTTGCAGATGCCCATAGTGTATTGACAAAAAGGTTCTGCCACTGAAAGCAGTTAAAAGCAATTATTGAAAGCAATTTAAATTCCAAATACACTGTATTTCAGAGAAAAAAAAAACCTGCAATGAAACGTCACTCTTATGAAAAATATATGAGGTTGCTTCCAGTAATTATAGATCAGTGTGGATGTGTTTCTTTCATCAGCCATTAATTTATATTAATTATTTATTGAGTCCTGTGATGTTGTGTGATTAAAACCACTTAGGACTGGGTGCTCAAATGTGTTCTTTAAAGGGACAGATTATAGATTCCATTTCAAGATTTTTTTTTCTCCTGTGACTTACATGGAAAGAAAGAAAAGCAGTTGAGATCTAAATCAATTCAATCCTTAAAATGAAGTAATTTCCCCCACTCTTAAAGTTATGGTGAGCATTTTTACAACTTTTTTGGCCATTAACTTCTCCAGCTCCATAGCAGATGCTATTATTAAGAACATTCTTGGTGGTTCAAAATAATAGTTATCTTAGGAATTGACCTGACTCAGATACCTGCATTTTCCTGATTAGATGACCTCCTGGGTGTCCTGGCCATACCCATAGTTATAAGATCAGACCCTTTCCAGGTTTCTTCATGACATCTGGTCACAAAAGCATGTAGAGGGTCTTCAGTTCCTAGACAACATTAACTCAACACTCAGATCCAGCTGGTGACAGCTAACATACCGCTGTTTTATTCTTTTTATTTTTGTGCTGTTTTCTGTTCTTGGGTCTTTGATGGTAACAAAGGCAACTGCTTTACACAGAATGAAAACTTCCTAAGTGTCAAGGAGTAAGAATTGTGAAAAAAAAAAAATGGTGAAGATGGCTCAGTGACAGAAGTAGTAGCCTTAGCAGCATTAGCAAAAGTTGCTTTAACTTCAAGACAAGCTAAATTGCGTGGATCCGCTAATTGGGAAAACTATTTACCAGGCTAGTTCAGAATGCTGAATTCCAGCCCACCTGACACACCCGCTTCAGCCTACCCGGTGGAATCCAAGTGAGAATGATGGTGACTTAGCCAAGGATGGAAAGGACAGGTGGTGAGAAGTGGCTCTTGCAACCAAATCTTTGTTCACATCTTTTATCACTTCCTGTTATGCATTGAATTGTGTCTCCCAAAAACCTACATGTTAAAGTCCTAACCCCTAGTACTTTAGAATGTGACCCGATTTGGAAATAAGGTTGTTGCAGAGGTACTTAATTAAAACTGGATCATACTAGAGTAAGATAGGCCCTGATCCAATATGACTAGCATCCTTGCAAAAAGGGGAAATTTGGAGACAGACAAGTACACAGGGAAAACGTCTTGTGCAGATAAAGGCAGAGACGGGATGATGCTTCTACAAGCCATGGAACACCAAAGATTGTGAGCAAACCACCAGAAGCTAAGGGAAAGGCAGGAGAATAGATTCATCCTCAAAGCCCACGGAAGGAACCAACTCTATTGACACCCTGACCTTGGACTCCTGGCCTCCAGAACTTTGAGCCAATGAAATTCTGCTGTTTAAGCCACCCCATTTGTGACATTAGTAAACTAATACACCCTCTAAGGTAAATTCCTGCAAGTAAAATTTTTACTTCAAAGGGAAACATGTACTAAGCCTTTTGATCCATATTTCCAATGACAAGGGTTGTACCTGTCTACATTCCCTGTAGCAGTACATACAAGTATTCATTTCATCATTCTCTTACTAACACAGGAATTCAGCGTTTGTTTTGTAACATTTCACAGTTTAATAAGTAGAACTGTCTATTTTCTCATATTTTAATGCTCATTATTTGATAACTAATACCTGGACATATTTACATGTTTATTGATTCTTTTGTGAATTGCCTGGTCTCTGCCTTTAACCCTTTCTGTACTGGCCAACTTGTCTATCATTATTGATTCATAAAAATTCTTTATATATTAAAGCTGCAAACCCTTTCACAAAGAGACACAGACACACATATGTACACAAAGTAAATTACCTTATCTATTCAAGTTTTCATTTGCCTTTTATTTTTGGTATTGTGTATCTGTGCTAAGATAGCACCTCTAGACACATGTGGCTACTGAGACTTGAAATATGGCTGATCTTACCTGAGATGAGCTGTAATAAATAAAATGCACATGGGATTCCAAAAACTTTGCATGAGAATAAAAGAATGTAAAACCTCCCAGTAATAATTGTTAGTATTGATTTTATGTTGAAATTATGTTTTTGATACTTTGAATTAAATAAAATATATTATTGAAATTGATTTCACCAATTATAATTTTCAGTTTTTTTGTTTGTTTTTTTCTTTTGTTATATCTTGTTTTTTGTTTTGTTTTTTGAGACGCAGTCTTGCTCTGTCGCCCAGGTCAGAGTGCAGTGACGTGATCTTGGCTCACTACAACCTCCGCCTCCCAGGTTCAAGCAAGTCCCTGCCTCAGCCTCCCGAATAGCTGGGATTACAGGCACCCACCACCACACCCAGCTAATTTTTTTATTTTTAGTAGAGATGGGGTTTTATTATCTTGGCCAGGCTGGTCTTGAACTCCTGACCTTGTGATCCACCTACCTCAGCCTCCCAAAGTTCTGGGATTACAGGTGTGAGCCACTGCACCCAGCCAATTTTCAGTTTTTTAATGCATTTCTGAAACTTTAAATTACATATGTGACTCACATTTATGTCACATATCATATTTCTATTTAACAGTGCTCTTCTATATCATAAAATTATGATGTTTTGTATGTGTAAATTCTCAATTTCTTTTACTAAAGTAAAATCTAATTTTTTCTATATACTTTTGGCCTTCAGTGTCAGGCTTAGAAAGTTTTTTATACCCCAAATTATATTAATTATCACCTATAATTTGTCCGAATACATTTTACATTCACAACTTAAGTGTCTACTTAATTTGAAATTTATCTTTTGCTTATAATGAGAGATTGGAATCAACTTCACTTGTTTTCTAATTATATTGCTCTGTTTTTGAAACTTGGTCTATTTAGTTTCTAGTCATTATAGCTTCAAAAAGTATTTTGACATCTCATAAGACAAATAACTCACATTGTTCTTCTCTTTCAAAAATCTACTGTCTAATCTCATAATTTATACTTCCAGATGCACTTTAGAATTCCATTTTTAGTGTGTTTTTTTTTAATATCTCAACAGATTTTTGAAGAACAGGTGGTGTTTGGTTACATGCATTCTTTAGCGGTGATTTCTGAGATTTTAGTGCACTCATCACCCAAGCAGTATACACTCTGCCCAATGTATAATCTTTTATCCCTCACCCCTTCCCACCCTTTGTCCTGAGTCCTCAACGTCCATTATATCATTCTTATGCCTTTGTCCTCATAGCTTACCTGCTGGTCGTCATAGCTTAGCTCCCACTTATGAATGAGAACATACAATGTTTGGTTTTCCATTCCTGAGTTACTTCACTTAGAATCACTCCCACTTATGAGTGGAAGTGATTACTTCACTTATTCTCACTACCACTTATGAGTGAGAACATACAATGTTTGGCTTTCCGTTCCTGAGTTACTTCACTTAGAATAATGGTCTCCAGCCATCCAAGTTGCTGTGAATGCCATTATTTTGTTCCTTTTTATGAGTGAGTGGTATTCCCTGAGATCTATATATATACACACATCTATATATAACTGTGGTATATAAATATACAAATATACATATGTACATATATGTATATATGAACTATATATATACAAATGTGTGTGTCTAAATATATATATGTATACACACACACACACACACACACACAC